AACCACCAACCCATTTGCAGTGGCTGCTTCTGCCAGCCCATATCCATCGCAAGATGCCAGCCCATATCCACCACAGGATGCTAACCCATATCCTCCGCAAGATACCAACCCATTCCGGAACCGCCTTGCAGAATAAACACTTTTTATTTCAATACTAACACGCACATTGAGATTCAAGACCCTAAAGTAAGCTGGCTCATGGCAGCCGCCAGTTCATTTTCATCGCTATTGGGAGGCAGCGATACCCGACAGAGATTTTCCTTGCACAGTTGCAAAAACGTGCACATCCGCACTCCATGCTGGCTCAGCATGGCCTGCATAAAGTAGTCGATGAAGCTAAGCTCCTTTGTATCATCCAACGTGCCTAATTTACAGTAGTCGCAGTACTTGAGGATGGCTCGAGTAAGCGGATGGTACTTGCCGTCGTTTTCGAGATACTGCATGCCAATCTCCTGGTTGAGGAATATTGCGTTGAGCGGCAATATGATGTTTTCGATAGCTCGTAGAATTTTATAGTTGACTTCAAACATCGAGTGGCGGCTCAGCTTGTTGTGCATGTCGGCCAAGTGCCATACCATGTCTAGCCATGCTCGTTGCGGGTACTCGGCATCTAAATCCTCCATAAGCAGCCAGTCATAGTCGCTTGTCGAGAACCCCTTCATTATCATCTCCAACGCACTCATGTCGAGAATCCCTCGAGTCAGCTTCAACCCGCATCCTCGGGTTATCACCAGGCTTTGCACCAGTATGTTGAAAAACACTTGGTTCTCTTCCGTTGTCCACAGTGTCATTTGCATGTTCATCCCCATGCGCCAGTTTTTGTTTGCTCGTGTATTTCTTCTAGCCATTATCATCATTGCTGTCGCCACTTTTGGGTTAAAGCCTTGGATGGCTCAATATTTTGTTATCTATACAAGTGTGCTTTTTAAGAGATGTAGGAAAAAAGAGATAAAATATAGAAAAGAATGGTTTTTTTGCCTTACACTTTTTTCTCTTGCCACTACATTAGAAGCAAATAAAGTCTTGTTCTTTTTCACAAAAAGGCGTACTTCTTTTTTACTTTATTTCTTTGCTAAATGGAAGTGGGAAGAAGGTCTTGAACCAACCGAAGAAAAAACCCCCCGTTTATTCTTTTTACAGATCGCTTTAATAAAATGCCGGCTCTTGTAAGCTTCCATTTAAAACTCTTTTTGCTCAATGGATATTCCTGACAATGTGTAAATGTAGTCTAATAAACCTGTATTGAACCTCGTATTGATGCGACAGGCTATTGATTTGATCGATGATCTGCTGTGGTAACCACAAGCATGTGATTTCAGTAGAAAAAAAAAAAGCCATTTCTTCTTTCCTATTTTTGCCAATTTGTAACTATAATGGGCAGGTTTTGGAGCCGCAACAAAAGAAACGCCGTGGCAGCGGCATCCGTGGCTCTAGTTGGCTTGCTCGCTTACGTTGTTTACGAGGTGTACCAGGAAGCAACCAAGACTTATTCGAGCGATGACGACACTCGATCGGACAGCGATGTCGAAGACGTAATCCATATCCCCCCGCCGCCTCCACAGACCAGCGAAGATGGACCTGATCAGGCCACTTTGTTTGATGCGGACAATATTTCTAATTCGCCGCGAAAATCACTGGCAATAAGTGCACGAGGCATTGTGTTTGACAGCCTGGATGGCAGCGACAAATGGTCATCCCATATACGGATCCGTAAAGACGCCGTGAGTAGCCTGGAGCAGTTGGCCAGACACTACCAAGTGTATTTGATAATTGTTACTCGGCCAGAACAGGAGCAGGGGGTTTTAGAAGCACTGGCGGAGGCAGGAATAGTTGCGTTTTCCGGGCAGATCGCGGGAGTCACTGAAAGCACCGTGTGGGTTAACAAAAACGATAGCGATGATACGAATAGCACCCGCTCTTTTGACGAAATCCCGTCGTCTGCCATATCGTCGATTCTAAATATGCCGTCGTCTCCGGGCATTGTGCCCCTGTCCAATGTCTTGTTCTGCCAGACGGAAGAAGGCAAAGTGCATCTAGCTCGCCATCTGCTTACAGCCAACCCGCATGTGACTTCCAGGCCAACAGCCGGTGGGTACGCAGGCTATATGGATACCAATCGGGATGTGGTGGCCCGGTTATCGCAAGTTCTGCATAATGTGGTGCTGGTTGATCCATCGCCTGAGTACCCAGTTATTGGCCAGGGCGATATTCCTGGCTCATCCACCGCCTTCTCGTCAGCCAATATACAGAATCCAAGTGCAGCTGAGCTGGCGACGTCTGTAGAAGTAGTTTCGAACATTTCCCAATCCTCTCTTTTCCGCGTCTAACTCTCGTATTTTTAGCCTGAAGTAAGAAGAACCCAGCTCAATACAATCTAATACCAGCAGCTTTGCGCCTGATCAAATCAGCAGTATGTGTACAAAGGGAGCATGCAGCTGTGGGTCATTGGTGACAGACCCAGCAGCATGGAGGGCGATCCTGTGCGTCGTGCAGCCAGAAAAAAGTTTTCAAGTTGCTTATTTGTATCCAAGGCTCCTCAACTGCAAGCAACACGATTTAAGGACACCATCTGGGATGGTGCCAAAGATACTTGATTCAGCTTATTTATCCTCCTTGGTAAACAAAACAATGCCTGATGAGGTTATTTTTTTTAGCCATATATGCCCAGCTGAGATAAATTGGACGCCTCAAAAGACAATATTAGCCTCATTTGGCCATGACAAACAAACATTCCTCTTTGGGTAAAATGCAAGTTAGGCATAAAAAAACCCTTCACGCCAAAAAGGGGGGAGTTCTGTTCCACCTGACCATTAAAGTATGAATCGAAATTTTTTAAACTGCGGCTTGGGTCTAGACATGTACTTTTTTCCCCCTTTATCTCCGCATAAGTCGGCCTTCCAAATAGAGTGCTACGAAAAAAAAGTGGTTTCAATTAACGCCTTTTGCGGCTTTCTTCAGCCATACCATGTCTCTTTTCTTCTTTTTTATTTCTAGAGTTGCTCTTTTTCTCCTTTTCCCCCCACCGATTTATCCCCTTCCCCCTTTTCCATAATATCGTACAGTTGCTTGCGAAAAAAGAAGCTCGCGGTTGTGAATATCGACGTTGGTGGCAATTACGGTTACGCATATCTGGTGCATAGCCTCTCTTTTATACATCGGGCCAACCATCAGCGTCTCCCCCCTTTTTATCTTCCGCCTATAGTCAAAAAAAATTTTTTTCACTCCGTTGGAACCGTCCAACCACGAGGCTCGCTGGCTTATTCTGGTCGGTGCTTATTGGATGCGGCTGCTTGGAATTGCCAGTTACTGAAGCTGTTAAAGTGGACTTCCCAACTTTTGCGGAATTGAAATAAGTGATCCTAATTGACGAATAAAAAAGAGCATTCTCCGTCTTCTTGCAATTTTCCAAAGGTTCTAGATCCTTTCTTTTCATCTCCCTACTGAAACACCCTCTCGCCTTTTTTCCCTCTTATTATTTTTTTGGTTATCCGATAACTATCTCCGGCTATTTTTTCCCCTACATTTTTGTATTATAAGCGATCAATTACTCCAACCCTATTTTGTGCAAGGGGAGTTTATTTTCTTCTATTTAAAGGGTTTAGGATTATCCGATTATTTGGATCTGCCAAACTTGCCTCGATATGGCGTCTACATCCCGAACGCATTCAGCCGAGCTGGTGGACACATCTGGCGGACAGACATCGCAGGATCAGCGATTACGGCCGCCCCATAGCGGCGAAGAAGGCCAGTCGTCGTCGGACGCGCCGCTGCGGCCCAAACGCGCGCAGGTGAAAAACGCCTGCGTCAATTGCCAGCGGGCATGCAAAAAGTGCGATTCTGGCCGACCATGCCAACGCTGTATCAAATACAACCTGGCAGACACCTGCGTGGATTCGAAGCGGAAGCCGCGCAAAAAGGGAATTAAGCGCGGGCCGTACAAAAAGCGCAAGAAGAATCATCCCGACGACGACGTACAGCCGCAAGCGAGTGTGGGCGAACCCGCATTGGAAGCGCCACGGGCATCGGGCACGACGTCAGGGGGATCGCGAAGAGCAAGCATGAGAGTCGCGCAGGCAGAGCCGAAGCGGCGACGGCAGCCGAGGGGCAGCGACAGGCCGCCCGGGGTGCTTGGGCCGGGCGCCATCCCGATTCTGCACACCGATCCGGCATACGACGAAAGCGACGGGAGTAGCTCGGACGTCCCGCTCGTGGTCCAGCAGCGGCGAGCCGGCCAGCCGATAGCTGCGCAATACGGAATGCCGCCCGAAACTCCGACGGCAGGGCTGACGACGGCATTCCGGTCGCTGGACACGGGCCACGGCGCCCTGTCGCCCACAGCGCGGCAGCCGCACCGGCCCGCCGCGCCCTACCCGCCAAGCACGATCGGGTCGATCCGCCTGCCGCCCATCGAGTCCTTCGACCACGCGCAGGCGCTCGCGTCGCCACCCAGCACGTCATCGCTGGCCATTCTCACCGACGTTGCGCTCGGCCACTCGTCGCTTGCGCCACGCCCGCCCCTGCACCCGCCGCTTCCCCGGCCGCCTGCCCACTACCCCCATCAGCCTGTGTCGCCCGAAGACTCCAACCAGCAGTCGCAGCTGCACCCGCCCGACCATTCCCACCACTCCACGTCGGCCGAGTCCGACGTCTCCACCCATTACGCCTCCTCGGACAGCCGCCTGTCCCCCGACTTTGCCTCCAGAGCCTACATCCGCCGCCTGTCCCACCGATTACACCACACCCACCTCGAACAGGAACCCGCCGACTCGTAATTTATCTAACGCCAACATGTCTCATGCCTCCTTATGTCTTGTCAACCTCTGTACACTTGTTGATCTCTCTAGCTAAGCTTATTTTGTTATAAACGCCCATGATACATTCCCTTTTTGCTTTGGTGTGCTTATTGCAGTTGCTGCTATGCCAAATAAAGTACTGACGGGTCTATCCAACGAATGACAAGCTTCGTAAATTTACGAGGATAACAAGCAATCTTTGAGCTTGTCTCGATGGTGTAGTTGGTTATCACGGTCGCCTCACACGCGACAGGTCTCCAGTTCGAACCTGGATCGAGACATCTTTTTTTTTTTTTTTTGCTTTTGATCTGGCAAGTGGCCGTATCCAGATGTTCTTTTTTTTGGTAGCTTAGAGCGCCTACGCGACCAGAGCTCCACAGAAAAGCTATGCAATCGGCTAAAGAACATCATACATTTTATTGCTTAGAAGCAGCATTGGCAATCAAATGGGCACAACTCTGTGTCGCCTTCTCCCTGTCCGATCTTCAGATCCTCCATATAAAACACGCGCAGACCGTCGTCCGTGTACTTTGAGTTTTTGCCGCGCGAATCGGCAAAGTCGTCATCAGGCGGTGGGGCGGGCGGCTTGCTCGAGGCAGCCTCAAGCTTGCCAACCCGAGTGGCATCAATGACTTTGGGGTCGGCGGCAGGCGGTGGATCTTGCGCAATGGGCTCTGAGGGCTTAGTCGAAAAGATGTCGTCAATTTCGGATGCCTGGTTACTGCGCGAGGGAGCTTTGGAAGCCGGCTTTGTCTTCTTCTTGGCTACCTTGCCCGAGTGCACTTTATCTCCCATTGCCTCGCAGATGTGGCCCCCTCAAAATATTAATTTGTCGAGAAAGTGTTTAGAGGGGAAGGATATAGCAGAATGTATTTTTTACAAGTAATTAAAAAGGGAAAGCTGCTGTAAACGCTGGTGGTTATGGGTTTCGGGTGGGCTGATCAATCAAGACCCACATTGCGTTTTTTAGCGGGGGACATGAAAATGTTTACAACACTTTTCTTCTTCTTCTTTTGACTTATACGCCATATTTCAGAATTAAACCATGCTTCGCGTCATTAGCAACTTTTCGGCACTCCGGGTGGCGAGTCACCCGACCAGCGTGCGTGCATTCAGTGCAAGCAACGTGAGCTTGCTGCAGACAAAGGCTCAGCGCGGCAGAACGAGCGCAGCCAAAAAGCCAGCAGCCAAAAAGCCAGCAGCCAAAAAG